TAGGCGCATATTTTATGCTTTCCCAAATCCTGAAGCGGGTGCATTGGGAAGTGTTCACAGGTTACAGGGTGAGAAAAGCTTAAATCATCACTATGCTGTTTTCAGGGTCGTCTTGCCTGAAGAAGTCATTGGGAGAATAAAATTAAATTTGTAGCTGTTTACAATAACTGCTGGGAAATGAATGATGTCCAACTGGGTAGTTGAGGGCACTGACACAAGCCATACAAGTGGCATAGGGTTTATGGTAGTAATTCAGCTGGCTAGGGTGTAATAATAGTAAATTAAAACTCACATGGAGAAATTTGAGTTTCTTCTAGACAAAATGGTTCTTGTGATCTTTGCTGGGTGCTGACATGTTCAATAGCATTTTGATTTTATAAATTTTGAGAAATTCCTCTTTTATATAATTTATCTGCCTTGCATTTGGATTCTTTAATGCAAATTGATATTTGAACTATAATTGAGCAATGCTAATCTTATCGGTAGATCCAAGTCAAATTATTTGCTTTTGGTCCACTTGTGATTACTGGATTGGTATGCCTTGAATCCTTTTTATGGAGTAGTAAACGTTTTATCTGATACTGTGAGGTTATGTACAAAAACAATATATTTGCTTTATAATCATTGAAACTCAATTTATGTATCTTATGGCCTTATGGTTGTCCATGTCATAAGGAGTGCAACAGCAGCCTTTCCCCAACCCTGATGATTGGTTCCATAAGGAAGAAAGCTTTGTTGAATCAAGCTTAGCCACTTTATCTTGTAGTCTTGAACCTATTAAGCTGTTTTTAGAAGTCTCCCTCAACAGAGCTTTCCTTTTTTTTATTTTTCTATTTTCAAAAAGAAATGTCCTCGAAAATTTGGCTTGAAATTGACTCTGTATTTCGAATATGAAATTACTGGCTGCAATCAATAGGGGATTTGTGTAACTTTTTCAATTATGATTTGGAGAGTTGATTGTGGCATAATTGTATGTTGCAGATTAAATTATAGATGATTGTGTATGGAGCTCCCAATTTGTGATGAAAACACTTATAATAAAAATTAGCTTTTTAAGAATTTTAATGTAAATATATAAAAATAAAAGTAAAAATTCATAAAGTTAAAATAAAGATTATTAAAATATCAATTAAATGTGTAAGAGTTATCGTAACAAGTTATATTAGACAAAGTAAACATATTTTTAGTGAAAATTAACTATTTACAAATGTTAATGTAAATGTACAATAATGAGAATAAAAATATTTATAGTGAAAATTAAATTTTTAAAAATTTTGACGTAAATTTAAAAGCATAAATGTAAAACTTAATAAGGTTAAAATAAATATAATTAAAATATTGACGTAAATGTATAAAAGTTAGTGTAACAATTCATGTTAGACAAATAAATATGTTTTTAGTGAAAATTAATTATTTATAAATATTAATGTAAATGTATAATAATAAGTATAAAAATACTTAAAACGAAAAGTAATTTTTTAAAAATCTTAACGTAAATTCATAAGAATAAATGTAAAAATTCGTAATTGAAATAATATTGTTACAATATTGACGTAAATCTGTAAGAGTTCATGTTAGATAAAATAAATATATTTTTAATGAAAATTAATGATTTAAAAATACTAAAATAAATATAGAATAATAAAAATAAAAATATTTATAATGAAAATTAGCCATTTAAAAGTCATGATGCGAATGTTAATGCTATATTACCTTTAAATGTTAATGTTCTTCTTATAATTATATAATTATAATGTTAACATCAAATGTTATTATACATTTTATCTATAAATTATAGTATAATATTTAAATATTTCATAATAATGAGTTTAACGTAATTAAAGTAGTTAAATGTAATGTTGTTAATATTAAAAACTGATATTTTTATATATTAACGTAAAAGAATAAGATTAAAAATTATATAAACATATTGCTTTATGTGTTAACCTATTTAACAGGTTTTCTATCATTTTCTTGTGGTTATATTATTTGACATTATAGTAAGCTTTTGATGTTTGGTTCATATATTACTTGACTTCTTTCATTTCATATCATTTATCTTTCTTAAGCTTCTTCTAAAATTTCGATTGAGTGCTTGAACCACATGTTTTATGGTATGTTCGGTAGCCACATGTCTTATGACTAGTGCGGTGCGTTGAGCACTATTTGCACTGCAAGTATTCATCTCAACATTTGCAAGGCGATTGAAACCATTCACAATGCACCACACCCACGATTTGTGGCACAAGTGGTCTAGTCGAGATTCTTAGTTTCTGTTCAGCACAAGGGTAAAATTGGTAGTGGTGAGATTGAAAACATCGGTGTTGGTGAGATTGGTAAGAATGTGATGAGTTTGGGAGTTGGATTGTTGAGATGGAAACTAGTGATGAGACTTGTGTTCGACAAAAAAACAACAATGGTGCTGAGGTGAGGTGTGGCCTAAGATTTCTATTCTTATGTCAGGGTATTTTTGGCAGTGACTCATCCACTGTGGACTAAGATTTCTACTGGACTCCATGTGCTGGCCGATTAGCCACTAATCATGGTTGTTGTGTGATGTGAATGGTTTCAATAACAGTGAATTTGTCAAGTCACACGCTTGCAGTGTGAATAGCCCTCAACACACCACACCAATGCTAATCATGGCTACTGAATGGACTGTCTGCCTGCAGTGGATGAATTACCAT